ATCTGTTCTGTGAAGTGTGTATTTTTCAGTGTCATGCAGCTTTTGTCCTCTATGTGCCTTATGTTTCAGAGCCCAACTTGTAAAAATCCAGACTCATTGTAAAACCAGTCTCTTTCACAGGAATACTGAGCTCTGGATGCTGCCTGATTCTAGACACAGGCTGGGACGGTCCACTGTTACTGAGGGTGTCAGTGCCATAAGTCAGAACCGTCTCCACTGATACTCTCAGGAAAGCTAGTTATTTTTATGTATATAATATATATGGTCCTTGTGTGGGGATTTATACTTGAAATTTTCTCAACATCCCTGAACAGGATAGGACTAAAATTTTTAATTCGCCTGAACTGTGACAAAAGCCTAGTAAACTCTCTAAACTGGACTTGCTTTCCCAGATGGGAAAAGTACAGAGGGCTGGATAAAAAGGAATATTCATTTTTCCCTTCCCTAGCTGTGCCTGCAGCACCCCTCCTGGGTTAGCAGCTCCCATCCTTGCAGAGCAAGGTGCTGTCCCATGGAGACAGAAGCTGTCCTCCCCTCCTTCACATTGGACTGTAAGCCCAAATGGGCACCACATGCTGTCCACGAGCAAGGGCTAGGTCCAACTTGACCTCTCCCTGCCCCGTTTTAACAGCTAGACAGGGTTCAGTGAAGACTGTGCTCGCTACTGTACGACAAAGTGGTCGATATCCATTTCCCCGCCCTTTGAAATAACAAGCAGATGCACTCAGCTTTTTGCTGCTCTGTAAGGCCACCAAAGATAAATCAGAAACGAGATTCATTCAGGTTCATAGGCCTGGATTTTCTCCTCAAGACTTCTGGCAGACTTCTGCTGGGAATGTTCAAGGGCAGTGAGCACGTATGTGATACCTGTTGTAGCCTAAGGGCATCAGGTGAAAGAAAGCGAAAGCTTTTTCACTTCCTGATGATACCAATATCCTTGTTTCATAGACTTAGACCTATCAAGTACAGATGAGATGGTCTTTGTCCCCACCCTCCCCTAACAGAAAAAAAGACGAAAGAGTTGATTCATACTCTGATTTTCCAACATCAGAGATGCTGAGTTTTATTTCATAGTTACCATGTGTCAATAAAGTGCAGAACACTGTGGGTTTAGCATTAGCAGCCCAGACCAAGCCTTTCACCCGAACAGTGAACAATGTGTGTAGCACACACTGCTAAAACTGCAAGGCTGCAATGCAACTAATCTGAACAGCCCAGCTGCTCAACCTTCCTCTCACCCTTTCAACAGACAAGCATGATGAAAAAGGCAGCACATGGTGTCTGCCTTTTAAAATGAACTTGACTTTATAAGGCTGGCAATTTTTCAGCCATTTCTGCTCCTTCCTGTTGCCCCAGAATTTGGATCTAGCTCAGACATTTCTACCTCAAACAAGTTACATGTACTTCAGGCTCCTGGGCAACCCCTCTGGAACTGATGTAAAAGACAAGGATTACAGATCTGATTTTATAACATCTTGAGTGTTTCAAAGACAATGAGTATAATACCTACCCTGGAGTTAAAAAATAATTAGATTCCAAAGAAAAAGCAAGCAAAAACGGAGCTGTGTTCATACTGAATTGGGGGTCAAGCTATTTTCCCCACCTGCTTTCCTTTCCAAATCCTGCAGGAATCCTCCCTTAGTTCATTAATTCTATACAGAAGAAACTGCCTTATGAACAAAGGCTTTTATAGCTTGCGTGTTTGCATGATTTTTAACATGACTGGAAAACAAAGTCAAATTTCTTTCTTTGACTTATCTCTCTTGGCACAAGAATCGTTTGAAACTATTGACAATGCTGAGTAACAGAAGAGTATTAATGTGCTTGACACCCACAACTGAAATGCCATGATCATGTCTGTCAATAAAAAGCAGCTGTCTGTGAACCAGGCAATTATTGTGTATGCTTTGGAAGGAGATCTGTTTATTAAGATAGTCATCATAAATTAACCCTGTACACAACCAGGAACTAGGTGGACAGAGACTAGTCTTTTGTAAGACATTTCTTCCTGCTAACCAGTACCTGAGGGCCTGACTTTTTTTTTTCTTCACTTGTATATAGGAGTATGCAGTTGGAAATGATAACTTTCTCAGGGGAGCTGATGTCAGTTTCCCATGTCTTGTTTCACAAATTTCAACAAATAGTAAACTTAAATGTGCTTAGGAATTTCACAAAGTGCTCTTCGTCAGCAGTACTTCTGACATCATTTCTTAAGATCTCCCCTCAGTTGGTAAAGTAGGCAAAACCTTACAAGGGGAACACTCAAATACACATAAATCCTTTGCTCAACATCACACAATGAGTTAGGTTTCCAGTCACGCTCTATAGCTCTTCGATTCACTGCATCCATACTGGTTTCTAGGACTGTGTCCAGCTCGTGGTCTAGAATACAGAAATAACCAGCCACTATGGCTTAGGAATCATCTCCCATGGAAGACAATACTGGCCTTCTGTATGCTGGGACTCAGGGGCTTGTTGATGTGGCTTTCTGGTGTGCCAGGATCTCCTGGCAGCTCCTGTACACTTCAGTCAAGCAGTCCAGCCGGGGCTTGGCACTCTGAATTCCAAAGGGGAGAAATGCAGAGTCAAGATGAACGTAAGAGAGTGCTTAGTGGTGCTGCGTCCACGTGCAACCTCAATCTCACCCACAGCAAGGGGTTTAAGTGGCACAGGTGTGAGCTCAGAGGGGCAGGAAGTTCAGGCCTCAGAGCACCTTCTTAGGAGTTCCAAACTAGGCCCACAGGCCACCCTGTACATTCTGAAGCAGGAGCTCAGAAGACAGTTTTTTAATCTTGTCAAAATGTCATGGTCTCCAAGATGTGGTTTATATACACAATGGAATACTACTCAGCAATCAAAAAAGATATGCCATTCTCAGCAATATGGATGGAGCTGGAAGGGATTATGCTCAGTGAAATAAGTCAGAAGGAAAAAGAAAAATATTAGATGGTTTCACTTATAGGAGGAACATGGAAACCATACAAGGGATCAGGGGGAAAAAAAAGACAAAACTAATAGGCATTCTCTAAATTAGAGACCTTCATTAGGGGAAGGGGAGGGAAAGTGGTCAAAATGGGAGGGAAGAGCAAAAGAGTCTTTGGTGATGCTTCACGGGTGTCTTGGTGGTGGTGATCTTATGGAGCCAACATTCGAGAGGAGAAATCAAACACAGTACAAAAATGAACGACATGTAAGAAATCTCCATCTAAGAGCAAGCACAAGGTATAACAAGGACAGACCCTCTCAGAAAGTATCACAAGCTATGGAACAGTCCCAGAAACAAGAAGGGCAGTTTAATATGCAAATTTAGAAAATCATTAAACAGTGACATGTAATACAACTAAAAGTAAAAGAAAAGCCACAGAATAGGAAAAATATATGTGGAAAGCATATTTAATAAAAGACCATTACCCAAAATATGTGAATTGTTACAAACGCACAATCAGTATCTAAACTCTATGAGTAGACAAAGAGACCGATCATTTAAAACAAGCAATATTGGCAGGTAACAGAAGGAAATATGAAAAGTATTATTTAAAGAGATACAAATTTAACTTTAAAATGCCTTTACCTACATATTAAACTCTAACGGAGCTAATTCTGTTAGCCAAGACTGTAAAAAAAAAAAATACAAATTCTCAAAAGTTGTCCAATCTCAGTAGTCAAATCTCAAACACTGTGAAAAAAATCTACAAAACTATTCATAAGTTTTCATAAAATAATTATGAATTATGAAAAAAAATTGTTTTATCTTAGCTGCTGCTATTTTTAACCCTTTGTGAAAAAAGAAAGGCAGTGATGGAGTATTAACTGCATATGGTCTTTTCTTCCTATGAAGAAATTTATTAATTTCTGTGTTTTTTTCATAAGAGATCAAACAAAAAAAAAACCTGGACATGATTTATAGTTGTATCTGATACTCAATGTGATATAGTTAAAGCAGATTCATAAAAACATACATGTTAGATTTTAAAAGCAATACACAAAATAATGTATAGCAGTTCTGTGTAGATCAGTAACATCCATGTAAAATCATACAATGGAGGACTGATAGTAAAAATAGACGAATGCTGATTTAAGGCGCAAGTTGTTACATATTTGATTTTTTTCCCTCTAAACTTTGTATGAATTCATATTTCTGAAAACTTATCTGCCTCAGAAAGGAACTTCTAAAATAACTCTTTATTCTCACTAAAAATAGTTGTTAGGTATCCTTGAATAATCTTGACAATAAAAGTTTACATTCCTACTGAAAATAAGTAGCAATGTATATGCGGATAGGAGAGGAAAGGTACAGGATTTCTTTGAAGAAACCTAAGTGTTGTGTGCTCACCTGGAAGACAGGTACTACTTGGGATATTCCGTGTGGTTCCATCGGATCCTTCAATAATATGCAGAGGTAGTAAATCACCTTTTGCTGTAAGAAAATAAGTCAAAGAACGGAAATTAAGTGAAAACTCCTTTTGTTTTCTTTTTCTCCAAACTTGCTCACAAACGGTTAAGTAATAAACCACTTGGTAAGCTTTTGAAATGAGGAAAAATATAGATTCTTATCCTTTAAATAAAAATAAAACAACCAAAGATTATTTTGAAGCTGAGCTACAAAATAAAGCTGAAATACAATCCATCAAGTTCACGTCTAGTTGACTACCCCAAGAATACAAAAACACTAACTCAAAGGGGTATACGACAATAGCAAAGCTATGTAAAAACCTTAAGTGCCCAAAGACAGATAAGCAGATCAGGAAGATGTGGTGTATTAAAGAATGGACTACTACTCAGCTATTAAAAAAAAAAAAAAAAAAATCTTGCCACTTGTGACAACATGGACAGAACTGGAAGAGATTATACTAAGCAAAGTAATTCAGGAGAAAGACAAATACTGGATGATGTCACTTTTATGTAGAATGTGGACTAAGAAACCAAAGGGTCAGATAAAGCCAAACCAGTAACAAACCCTAGAAATCCAACTGTAGAACTGAGGCTACCAGAAGAGGTTGGGGAAGAGAGACCACAGTGAGGAGGGAGCACAATGGACTATATTGGAGAACCTTGGATGCCTTGGTAGTGGACATGGCTGGTGATACACACCTGAAGAAGTGTAATCCTATACCTCTGAATCACACATAGTGCTGTAAAACAGTATTACTTCAATAAAATAAAATGTTGTTTTTAAAGAAAAACTGGAATGCTGATTTCCTACCCATGAAAATCTACTGTGTCTCATTCAAAATAAAGGGATGTGTCTTCAAAGTTTCATTTATATGGTTTGCAGATATGCCAGTGAAAAGGGAAACACCAGAAGTACTAGAACAGTCTTTAAGTTTAATTCTGTAACATCAAATACTAAAGTTTTATTAAGAGTTTATATCCAAACACACAGAGAGCTGCCTGCTCCAGAGAGGTCTACATTGCTTACCAACTAAATACTTACCATGTAAATAGCCTCATTAATGACGATATCCTTCACTTTGCTCATCTCAATGAAGGTGGTACTTTCTTTGCCTGATGAATAGGAAGAAGTCATCTGGATGCCAAGGGAATCAATGATTAACAGAGTCTCTTGATCAATCTTCACAAAATGGAGGTAGCCAAGCAGGCCTAAGAGAGTGATGAAGATGGCAGCAGAGAGTATCATGCTGTTCTGAAGAGAGAGCCAGACACAGGCAGTAAGATTACCAAGTGGTCCTTGGCATCTATGTACTGTTTAGTAAGTTAACTATGGCAATGTGGGAAAAAGCCTTTTTTGTTGTACTCTCAGTTGAGCAGCTGGGAGGTACATGCATGGAGAAAGAGGAGATCCCTTTTGTTTGGGCTCTATTGTGCTATAAGAGCAGAGAGCAATGGATTGGTCTGGGGAGGAGGATCTCCATCAGCAAACTACCCATCACCAGTCTCAAATGTTTCTTCCAAAATTACAACTGAAGGACAGACCATTATCTCCCATGCTCCCTCGCGAGAACATATAGTGCAAAATCATAGATCAAACAATTATAAAGTGCTAAACACAATATAGCATAAACGACTCTATCCTTCCAGGGAGCATGTACTATTACTAGGAAGCAGGAGAGTTTGGCATGAATCATGACTGTCCCCGCTCCTAGAGTGACTAGTTTAGAAATGGGCACAGGAAACAACTGTGGCCAATGACACAGGAAAGGCGATCTCCTGGAGAGACTTCTAGAAAACATAAGTCCATTTTAAAAAGAGATGTAAGGGGGACTCCCTGGTGGCACAGGGGTTAAAGACACCGTGCTATTAAGCTATCACCAGCCACAGCAGCACGATTTCGATCCCTGGCCGGCACCTCTGGCCTACACCCCAGTTCTTGTATGCATAAAAAATAAATCTTAAAAATAAATAAAAAAATGTGAGGAAGAGATGGTCCTTTCATCCTGAGGTTTTGATGTCTGCAACTATTAAGGCCTCTGCCAGTCCATGTGGAAGGCTAGATTGAGGACAAGTAGAGGATTCCAAGGGTGGAAGAGCAGCAAGAGGAAAAGAACCAAAGTCAAATGAGCTTCTAGATCCCTCTGGAATCTTCCTACCTCCTGACTTCTCGTTTTGTTAAATAATAAAGACCCTATAATTTAGGAGCTCTTTTGTTGTTTTTGGGTTGTGACAGATATGTTAAGGACTCAGAAAAATGGTAGCTATTTATGGCTGTGATTTCTAAGACACATAAGCTTTTAATAGTTCTCAGGTTGAAAGTGGTTTTATTGATGTTTCTTCCATGTTTTTTCTTTATTTCCAAAAAGCAATTACTAAGAAGGATATGTTAAAAGCAAGACAACAGGGCCTCCCCTGGTGGCACAGTGGTTGAGCGCGGGGCTGCGAAGCTGCCCACAGCCTCCGCAGAGCCGGTTCAATCTCCAGCTACCAGCGAGGGTCCCACATGGCGTGCAGACCTCTCTTGCCGCCCACTGCTCCCTCAGCAGTGTATTTTGTTTGTCTGCCTGTTCTGTTCCTTGCTCTGGCTCTGGTGAATTCTCTCACCCACTCTCGCTTCTGACTGTACCCAGTGCTTGTATAGAAAAAAAAAGAGACAACAGGCCCAAAATGGAGTCACCTAGGCTAAGCCCACATCGCTAGACTTTATTACAATTTTGGTCTCCCCCAAAATGGAATCTTGTAATCACCTGGTCAGCACTAGTTAGGATTACTACTTGAATTTTATCATACTTTCTTTTTCTATCTAAAATTCTAGCAATTGGGCCTCCCCGGTGGCGCAGTGGTTGAACGCTGGGTTGCGAAGCTGCCCGCTGCCTCTGCAGCGCCGGTTCGATCCCCGGCTGCTCCCCGGCCACCGGAGAGGGTCCCACATGGCGCACAGACCTCTCCTGCCGCCCGCTGCTCCCCTCAGCAGTGTACTTCGTCCTTCTGCCTGTTCTGCTCCCCGCTCTGGCTCTGGTGAATTCTCTCACCCTCCCGCTTCTGACTGTACCCAGTGCTTGTATAAATAAAAAAACAAAAAAAAAAAAAAAAAACAATGCTCTTAAAAAAAAAAAATAAAATAAAATTCTAGCAATTCATTTTTTGTTTAAGTTACGCTACATGTTTGAATGAATTCCTTCATAAGATTTCTCATTCTTACTCAGTCATTACTTTAATGAATAGTTCTTAATAAGAGAAAAGGTAAGAAACTGTGGTATACATAGCCCTGAAGTGTTGCCATGGTATTTAAAGACAGATAAGATCACTGAGTCCTAAGCACTTGTTGGGTGTACACCAAGATGAGGTACAAAAAGGAGCTGGCATAAAAACAAACTTCTTAAAAATTTTGCTTAAGCCAACCCTTTCCAAGGAGGATACATTAAAATATGGTAGTTTCAGCATCAGCAGTGGGTTTGAAGCCCAGGTATGGCCACTTACTAGCGCTATGATTACTCTTTGTTACAAAATAAATTATTACTCCTTCTTGGCTTTTTATTACTTCTAAGGTTGAGTGAGACATTTAGTAAAGTCTGGCACTTGGTTGGCATGTAATAAATATGTTTCTCCTCCTTACATGGCCATATGGCCAGAACGCAAGCTAGTTTTAAAAGTCAAATATATATTAAATCTGAAGGAGGGCAGAGGAAAAAGGACTGTCCTGGCAACTTACTCATTATTTCAACAACCTTAGGATACAATTTGGTATAAATAAGAGCAGTTTTAATTTAGCGCATACCTATGCTAAATGACCTTGCTCTGAAATATGCTCTGATGGCCAGGAAAAAAAAAAAGCTAATGGATGTTAATGGAAACAATAACTTAAATATACAGCACTGCTGTACTTAGCTCTGTTCAGATCACTCTTGGAATCAACATTCAAGTCACAGCACTGCATTATGAAACTAGAACTGATCCTGAAAACAGCAAAAGGATAATTCTTTTGATAATTGTCACAAAGCTACTGTACGTTACCCTCACCGAGGATTTAGTATGGCAGATATCCCCTTTTAGAAATGTGAAAACTAAGTCTCAGAGAACATAGAAATGATCTGGAAATTGAACCTAGAAATCACCCATTTCAGAAATCTCATAATTATTTAGGAAGTCCTAAAATCAGGAGAGGGGTTTGAAGGGGTGTTAGATTGCTTTGAAAAATAGATTAGGAAGAACTATAAAAGCTGCTATCATGCTTTTAAGTAATGTGTGTGTGTGTAAACACACATGCCACACACATTATGGAGGCAAACAGTTTTTGAAGACTATAAAGATTGTTAGTAGCGATACTTCTGAGTGAAAATGATAAATGAGGACGATCACTTAACAGGTCTCTGAACCCTTGGAATTAAACTACTATGACCGTGTACTACACAGAGCACTGGAAGCTAAAGTTTTCGGCTGCCGTGCAAGGGCAGGATGGATGCCGGGTGGAACCACGATGCAGAGCAGTGTGACCTGGAAGAGGGATGAGACACTGGAGTGCAGAATTCAGTAAACGGCATGAGAAGCGCTGTCCAGCAGCAGAATGGCCTCCCCAGAACCAGCGCCTCGCCGCTCTCCAGTCCAATGACGGGAGGAGGGTCTGTGGAGAGCCGACTTCCACCCCAACACCCTAAAGACCCTTCCACCCCCCAGGACCCAATTCCGCCCGCGGGAAGGGGCCGACCGGCCATTACCTCGCAGAGGGTGAAGAGCCCGTAGGCCACTAGCCACACGGTGCAGGTGACAGTGGTGAGCGATCGCAGCGAGAGCCGGGGGCAGCTGAGGCAGAACTCCCGACAGGAGGGGAGTAGTAGCGGCGCTGCAGGGTCAGGCGGCCGCCACAGATATCCAAGAAGCTCTGCTCGTCCTCCATGGCCGGCTCGCCCCCATCCGGCCGGGCCGCGTCGCTCTAGCCCGCCCGCCGCGTCCTCTCGCCGGCTCCGCACCGACTTCCGGAAAAAGGTGCGGGCCCCGCCCCCCGCCCGCGCCGCGCAGGCGCAGTCGCCGCTCCCCGCCGCCGGCTGTGGCGCAATCCTGGTGAAGCTTCCGCGCCCGGCCTCGGCCGAGGTGCAGTGACTGTCTGCTGCGGGGATTCGTAGGGGTCCAGCAGCTCAGCGGACACGTTGAAATGTGCTTTCGCTCCACAGAGTGATTTTTATTTCTAAACCAGAGTGCACCCAAGGAGACAGTCCACAGGTACTCGTTCATCCACCCCTTCCTCCATCCATCCATCCTGCGCTAGTTAGGGTTAGATGCTGAGGATGCCGGAGTTAACACCGATAAGGCACCTTCCTCCAGACAGCGGTCTTCCTGCTAGGAGAAACTGGAAATAGTTGCAGAGAAATCCGTGGCTAGCCTAACTTAGCTTGGGGATTTTCTTTTCTTTTTTTTTTTTTTAAGATTTATGTATTTATTTATACAAGCACTGGGTACAGTCAGACGCACGGGAGGGTGAGAGAATTCGCCAGAGCGGGGAACAGAAACAGGCAGACTGATGAAGAAATACACTGCTGAGGGGAGCAGCGGGCGGCAGGAGAGGTCTGCGCACCATGTGGGACCCTAGCAGGTGGCCGGGGATCGAACTGGCGCTGCAGAGGCTGAGGGCAGCTTCGCAGCCCAGCGCTCAACTGCTGCGCCACCAGGGGAGGCCCTAGCTTGGGGATTTTCAATAGGGCCGCAGGATAATCTCTTTGAGGTAAGATGCTAGAGCTGCAGGATGAGCCTGACTCGTCGGGGGAGCGCTGCAGCAGGAATTTGCCTGGAAGGACCACCTGAAACCTGGGCTGGCTTATTAGAGGAATCAAGAGATGTGAGAGGCTGACGCCTGGGGAATGTGATTTAGAGTTGGGGAGGCACGTAGATGAGGTCCAGGAGGGTTTTGTAAGGCCTGGTTAACGAGTTTAAATTTCTCTGCCTGGGAGTTCTGTCTCCCAAACTTCTGCGTGGAGCATTGAGGAGGCAGGCAAGTCTGGTTGGAAGGTAAGAAAGAGTGGAAGGTGCAGAATTATGCGTAATAAAATTACTGAACTCATGAGTAATAGCAACCTGTGGGTTCCTTTTTTTCCCTTTAAGTGTGGCCCAAGAGTGGCCGTGTGGTCTGTTAAAAGAGTTATGATGGTTGGGCCTTGAGGCCGTATCACATATTAAAGAATCTATTTGTGGATAATGATAAATGGCAGAAAGGTCTCACCTGCTTTAAGCTTCTAATGAAAGGTTCAATTTCTCTTTCTAGTATTTTGTCTCCATTTTCCCCTTTTTTTCCCCTAAAGAATTTTCTTGAAGTATTACTTTTTCAATTTTATTTCTATGCCCTGAATCTTACCAAACAATACATCCCTCTGACTTGTAAATATCATATTTTTTATAATTTTACATATTTCCTTACTGTGGAAATTTTGAAAAATTTAAACCACTCATATTTCAACGACTCAAGATAAACACTATATTTTGGGGAAACCTATGGTGTTCTTAATGTGGACTCAATGGATGAAATCCATTTCATCCTTACTTCCATTTACTTCTACTTAAAATGCAACATTTCTTTTGATTATGAATGTAGCCAATAAACCAGTTAGTATTACCATCTGTAGAAATCACAGTTGTTTTCATTTCATAATGTTATCTTTTATATATTAAATTATTAGGGATAAATAGTATGCGAGTAACTGCTTTACTGTATTAGATCGTGATATCATCTGCACTCTATTATATAATTTGGCACTACACTAGAAATTGAAACTTAGGTATTTGTCATTTACCTAGATGCCAGCTATGATACAGCTGACCCTGTAAAAAAAGCAAAGAATGATTCTTTTGACTGTCAGTGTTGGACTTTAAATTATTCAAGTAGAATATATCAACAAGTAAAAGCTGTTGGAATATACCCACCTCAAAAGTTCAGTGGAATATATCATCAAGTAAGAGCAGCTGATAAAACTTAGACTTCTAGGACTTAAAGAACTCAGTTTCAGTGTCTTAACACAATGTTTCTTTCTTGATTGTTAGTAGTTCCACTTGGATGCTTCTGTTCAGATGACAAAAGTTTTGCCAAACCCATGAATTTCCTTATAACTCTCCCCAGTGCATCTTGTGCATATAACCAACAGATGAAGGATCACACATGGAAGGGATTTATGACCAAGGCTTCTACCCATATTCCATTAGCCATAACTCATTAACATGGTTTTACCTGACTTCAAAAGAGCCTGGGCAACACCATCTATCAACATACCCAACAGGAAAAGAGAAGTAGTTGGTGAACAAGTAGCCACTGTGATCCACTGTCTATATATATTTTTTTAAGATTTATTTATGCATAGAAGAATTGGGGTGTAGGCCAGAGGTGCAGGGAGTCAGAGGATTCACCAGAAACGGAGTGGGGAGCAGAACAGGCGGATCTACTGAAATGCTAAAGGGAGCAGCAGGCAAGACAGGAGTGGTCTGTTGTGCCATGTGGGTACTGGCTAGGGATTGAACTCATGCTGCAGTGGCTGCTAATAACTTCCATAGTGCTGAGACTTAACCCCTTGTGTCACCAGGGAGGCCTATATAACTTTTTCAATGGTAACTGTAGTATTACATTATGACTGTTACCTATGTATATGTTTTATTTATATATATATATACATATATATATTTTTATATAAATTTTAGAAAAAATTCAGTCCTCCTCTTGTTTCTTCTTTACTCTCATACTGCTACTCACTTCTAACAAATGTGGGTTTTTTCCTACACCAAGCAATTCTCTCTGACACCAGCTGGTGTCAGTTTAAATCACTTTTTTTTTTTTTTTTTTTTATAGAGGCATGTTTTATTTATTTATTTGTTTGTTTGTTCTGTTTACACATGCACTGGGTACAGTCAGAAGCGCGGGAATTCACCAGAGCAGAGAGCAGGCAGAAGGACGAAGTACACTGCTGCAGCAGGAGAGGTCTGCGCGCCATGTTTCCGGTGGCCGGGAGCAATCGAACAGAGCTTCGCAACCCAGCGCTCAAACCGCTGCCCAGTTTAATCACTGTCAGGTGGAACATCTCTAGGTTGATAGTGTCAGATTACACAGGTTAAGGGTTTATTAGTCCCACAAAACTGTTCCCCACTTCTAGAACCACTCAAAAGTAGTTGTTCCCTAGGTTACCCAACAAGTCGGTACTTAGCTACAAATGAGAGGTTTCTGTGATCTTGGACTCAGTTATTCAGCTAGAACACTTCACAGCGGTTAGGGAAATATTTAAGTTTTCTAGTTTATTATACAATAAAAGATACAGATGAGTAGATATGTAGAGTGAGGTCTGAGGGCCAGAAGCACAGGTGCTTCTGTGCCTTTGGAGTTGGGGTACATGGATGTGTTCACACATCTTCCTGCTACACGGATGTGTTCACCAACCTGGAGATTCTCCAGCCCCTGTACTATGGGGATATTTTATGGAAATTTCATCATGTAGGTACAATCGATCAGCAACTCCATTTCCTGTCCCTCTACCATCTCTGAAGAATGGTGGCAGGGGTGGGGGGTTGTTCAGGAATTCCAGTCTTGTAATCCTGACTTAGTCTTTTTGGTGACTGGCCCCCATGCAGCGGTCCACCAAGAGTCACCTCATTAAAACAGAAGACCTTGCTGTCATCCCAGAAAAGTCCAAGGGATTTAGGAACTCTGTCAGGAGCCAGGGTCAGAGAGCAAATATTAGAACAAAAGATGCTCCAAGTGCTGTTATCACTTAGGAAATTACAAGGACTTTTAATAACTCTGTTAGGAACCCAGGACAAATACCAATCTAGTTTTTCCTATTAGCTACAACAGTGTATCACAGTCTGCTGGTATCAGCATTTTATCAATTCGAGTGAAGCATAGAAACCTTTCCTCCCTTTATGTACTTTTCTCCTTTCCCGTTTATAATTATCTTTAACATTTCCTCTATATTCATTAAGAACCACATCAGACGGTAGCATATGTAGGGGCTGGAATGGATCCAGTGCAGGTTTTCTGATCCAGCAGACCGGGTAAAGGAGGAGTCAGAGTCCTCAGTGGCTTTTTGCAGGTCTTTTATTGGGATTTACCCAGCACATGGCAGGCAGGGGTGCTGGGGGGCCGGGAGGCTGGTAGGCCTCCCAGCCCCCAGCAAGTCTGCACTCTATCTGGGTTCTCTGGCCTTCTCTGCTTCTTTCTCGGCTTCTACTTTGGCTTCTACTTCGGCTTCTTCTCCGGCTTCTCGCGTCCCCGTGACACCGCCCCCTAAAAGCACAGTCTTAGCCCAGATGAATCCCATCCACCCGCCCACACCCCACTCCAGGCGCCCGCCACAAGGCACACATTCAGGACCGCAAGGATCCACCATCCATCCCGATGGCGGGAGGGCAGAAAAGCCTGACACCTCTCCTCACCCCACAGTCCACCCCCTCAGGGTTTTCTGCCATATTGTCTTCATATATACAGTTTTCTTATCAAACATAAACAATGCAGCCATGGCCCACAAAAGCAAATATATCACAATATAACAACAAAATACAACAGAACACAAATAAGTCCAGGCAGGGCCCCAACCTAGTGGCGAAAGACAATTATTGATACCAACAGATGATCCACCACTTCTGCTGCTGAAGGCACTGCTCATACGAGGGAGGGGAACCACTCACGGCATCTACTGTAACACGCTAGGAGCTGTCAGGCTTCCTGGCCTTCTCTGGCTGTCGTCTCGGCTACAAGCCACACACAGCATCCACCCACAGGATGCACTGACTCTGGGATTGGCGATTCTATTCTGTTGGGGGTAATCGCCAACCCTCAGGGTTTCTGTCTGCAGTCTCTCCAACATTCGGCCTTCATGGCCACCCATGCGACTCTAAGAACCCCTGCACTCAGGCCAACCCACTGCACAAGCACATGGGTCGGGGATCCAAACTCTACATTTGGC